TTTTTTTTTTTTTTTTTTTTTTTTTTTTTTTTTATGGTGGCAAAGTTTCACATTTATTAAGGGTAGGAAAAAAAAATCAGAAGAGTAGGGGGGAAATGGGCTCTGTAGAGCAAGTTTGAGCAAAGGAAAAAATAAAAATAAAAAATACACCCTACAGCACAGGTGGGCTATCATGAAGGGGCACAATACCAGAGCCCAGGTTTTAAATGCTGAACTAAAGGGCCTGGCTCTGTTGTGTATAGGCAGGCATTTTGAGGTTCAATTCCTGACGTGAGCACCCAGGGCCCACAGAGAGTGCTGGGGAGCATCTTAAAGATCCTCAAGTAAGTTTACAGCACTGGCTTCCCATTATACAATCTGGAGCCAACCAGGCGAGTAGACATTTTTATCCCTGTTGAACAGATAAGAAAACAGCTGGCTGGTAGTGCACACCTGTGATCCTGGCACTCTAGGATTCAAGCCCACCCACGACATTTTAGTGACTCAGCGAGACCAGTCCCCAAACAGAAAAGGGTGGGGGATGTAGCTCAGTATAAAGGCCCTAGGTTCAATCCCCAGTACTGAAAAAACAACAACAAAAAAATCTGGCACTTTTCATGCTGTCCCTAGTCTACTAGTGGCATCCTCTCTACACTCCCACAGTATCAGACACTCGGAGAGCCCACTCTGGGCTTCCTCTGCCTCTTTGTCCCCACCTCGCGTGGTGTGCTCTCCAGCTAGAATGCTGCTTGCTCCTGACACCAAGGGTTACAGTGCAGACAGCCACCTCCCCTCCCTCATCAGTGGCTAACTCTGCCTGGGATGGCAGCTGCTTTTGTGTCTGTGTTTCCCTAGTGGGCCATAAGCTTTGAGGACACAGAGCCCCACAGGAATCTTCTGGGGTACCTTCCAGTGTCAGAACTTTTGGTGTGAATGAAGACCAAAGGGCCTGTCCTAAGTGACCCTGTTGGCTTCACTGCAAGCCCTGCAATGAGGCTGCCTGTGGGAATGCACTGCTGAGCTCTCACCCCCACCCTTGCCCTTTCCCTTTTTGCAGCTGTCTTTCCTGCCTCTTCTTTCCTCTGATGCTTATTTTTCCACTCCCAGTTTAGTATTGTCTCCTTCAGGATGCTTTCCCTCCCCACGCCCAGGTTGGGATAGGTGTCCTATTTAACCAATCGTCAATATTTAGCAGGGAGGGCTGGGGATTTAGCTCAGTGGTTCCAGCGCCTGCCTTGCAAGCACAGGACCCAAGTTCAATCCCCGGTAGCCCCCCACCAAAACATTAGCAGGGAGTATTGGTGCATGCTTGTAATCCCAGCACTTGGGAGGCCAGAGCTCAAGGCCAGCCTGGGCTACATGGTGAATTCAAGGCCAGCCTGAATTGCAAAGTGAGACCTTGTCTCAAAAAAATAAAACCAAAAAGAAATTATCAACATTTAAGAACCATCTCCCCTGTGGGCCAGAACCATGTCCTGGGCTGCATCCTGTCTCCTCTGACCCAGCACCTGCTGACCTGGGTGTGCTGTCCTCCTGTGGTTTCTGCAGTTGCACCTGGTAGAGTCAGACCCCAACCACTTTGCATCTCAGCTGGTGCAGACCTTTATCCACTTTGATGTGACGGAGCACAGGAGGGACGAGGAGAATGCGCGGTTGCTGGCAGAGCTGGTACGAGCACGTGGCCTACAGCTAGATGGCTGTTTCTCCTACTGGGATGACTGCCTGGTGCTCACAGCCCTACTCTGCCAGGAGCTGGGCCTGCCCTGCAGTCCTCCGGCTGCCATGTGGCTGGCCAAGCAGAAAAGCCGCACTCAGCTGCACCTGTCTCGCCGTCACGGCCCACCATGGCCTGCGCCCTCCCTCCATGCTGTGGCTTGCTGTCCTCTGGAGAGTGAGGCAGATGTGGAGAGGGCCGTCCATCAGGTACCCCTGCCAGGTGTGATGAAGCTGGAGTTTGGGGCAGGTGCAGTGGGTGTGCGACTGGTGGAGGATGCACCACAGTGCCATGAGCACTTTTCCCGGATTGCCCGTGACTTGCAGGGCGAGGCTGACCATCCAGGCATTGGGCTGGGCTGGGGCAATGCCATGCTGCTGATGGAGTTTGTTGAGGGCACTGAACATGATGTGGACCTAGTGGTGTTTGGTGGGCGGCTGCTGGCCGCCTTTGTCTCTGACAATGGCCCCACAAGGCTGCCTGGCTTCACAGAGACAGCAGCCTGCATGCCCACTGGGCTGGCGCCTGAGCAGGAGGCTCAGATGGTGCAGGCAGCCTTCCGATGCTGCCTGGGCTGTGGGCTGCTTGATGGTGTCTTCAATGTGGAGCTCAAGCTGACTGGGGCTGGGCCTCGGCTCATTGAGATCAACCCCCGTATGGGTGGTTTCTACCTTCGGGACTGGATCCTGGAGCTTTATGGTGTGGATCTGCTGCTGGCTGCTGCAATGGTGGCCTGTGGTCTGCAGCCCGCCCTTCCCACTCACCCACATGCCCGTGGTCACCTGGTGGGCATCATGTGCCTGGTGTCTGAGCACCTGCAGGCACTGAGTTCTACAGCCAGCCGAGAGACCCTGCAGGCTCTGCATGACCAGGGCCTACTGCGCCTCAATCTGCTGGAGGAGGCCCTGGTGCCAGGCGAGTATGAGGAGCCCTACTGCAGTGTGGCCTGTGCTGGGTCCAGCCCTGCTGAGGCCCGCCTCCGTTTGCTGGGCCTCTGCCAGGGCCTGGGCATCGATGGGCCCAACTACCCAGTTGCTCACTTTCTGTCTCATTTCAAATAGCACTGGAGCCAGCAGGGGCAGGAATGAAGTGGTAGGAGGAGAGGCTGTAGTGCCCTCTACTCCCTGGTGCCCTCCCTGTCTCTCTTCCTATCACCCTACTCTAACCCCAGCCTGGCACACTCCTGTGCCTCAGGTTTGCTCCAGAGCAGCAGGGCAATTTTGACATCAAATCCTCCTGGGCTAAGGGCCACAAAACAAGTGTGTGTGGGGAGCCCTATTACCCTCTCAAAGGCTTCAGTCTGGTCCACAGCTTCCCCAGGACTCTAGCCCTGAAGAAGTTGCAGGAGTTAAACACACACACTGAACTGCCCACCCCAAATGGGAGTGTATCCAAACCTGGGCCCTCTCTAGGTGTGACTCTCCTCCTGCCACCTATGGGTGAAGAGAATCTTGGTGGGCCTCCAACCTTGGACAATTCCCAGGATAAGCTGAGATAAAAATGCTTGTCTTCTTATCCATATGCTAGCATAGTTCTAGAGCCTGCTGAAAACTTCTGGCAGTGCCCCTGTCTCATCTGGCCTGAGCAGTAGAAACAGGTGCTTGTGGTCAGGAGTAATTGCCTCCCCTCACACTTCTACACAGATGCCATTGCTCCCATTCTCCAGATGAGGAAACGGGCTCAGAGAGGAAAAGCGATTGTCCCCATACCACCATGGATATGGACAGAAGGGCCAGGGCCAGGTTCCTACATTTACTAAGTCTTACATGTCTGCTCAGCTTCTAGGCCCCTTACTTCTCTGCCTGCATCACAAGCAGCTCTGAGACTTGTGAACACCCTCCTCCTGTGCACCATGTACCTTCACCAAGTTTCAGTGCTTTGGCCTCTGGAACATCTAACTATCATTGGCAGAGGGTGCCTGGGCTACCTTCCTCGTTTAGGGAAGCTGCTTCAAGAACTGTCTCTGCATAGCCCAGGAACAGTAGACAGCTCCCCCAGCATCCCTCCCCAAATAAAGGCTTATGGACTAGAGAAGTGTTTGGAGTCTGGAATAAGTTCTTGGACTAGGGCAAGGGATTTAGCTCAGTGCTTTTGCCACCTGCCTCCAAGTGCAAGGACCCGAGTTTGATCCCAGGTGAAAAAAAAAAAGTTCTTGAACTAGACAGCTCCAGGCTCAGCTAGTTGGAGTTAGGGGTGGGAGTGCTTGTGAGGGGGAGAGGGGCTGAAGAGGGAGTGGTAGGGGATTTCTGTAGGCTCTAGGCTAGGGGAAAAACCACTCAATTGGCTGGGCCTCTGGGCTGACCTTTGGCAGGAGCCTGTCCTACATTCACAGCAGGGCCCAAACCTAAGGATCTCTTTTGGCAGGACTACAAACTGAGGTCACATTCAAGGTAACCCTCTGTCCGCCTGCAGACCCTGGAGCTCTGTCCATCTGAGTTCATGCCCAGCCTACCCTGTGCAACTGGAAGGCACATGCAGACAGTCCCCAACAACCAGAACTCAACCAAGACCTGATCTGGTCCAAATTCACCCCTCCTCCCTGCTCCACCAGCCCCATGCAGCATGAATCCATGCCCAATCTAAAGTCACAGACCAAGTTTGGCATGTTAACTCTTTCATCCTTTCAACCACGTTTTATCAAGTGCCTTTATCCTGTACCAGGCAGTTGAATTATTAAATGTGCTTCAATTGACAAAACCTCATATTTAGCAGGGCATGGTGGCTCACACCTGTAATGCCAGCACTTGGGAAGCTGAGGCAGGAGGATCACTGCAAGTTTGAAGCTAGCCTGACCCACAGAGTGAGACCCTGTCTCAAAAACCAAACAAAAACATATTTAGGGGCCCTAAACCCTTAAGGACAAGAGCCTAGTAACAGTTCAACAGTGAACTGCTCACCCAGTAAATGTCTGACCTACAGGGACCCTGAACCAGAGGCACATTAAGGAGTCTCTAATGCAGCTGCCTCCCTTCAGGAGTAGTGAAGGGACATGACATGCCTATCCGCTGCCCAGTCAGCCTGGCAGTACACGGCTACGCCAGAACTGAGGATTGTGTTTACACTTACACCTACGTGCACCTTTGACACTGCCCATCCAAACTCACTCTCCCCTGCGCCCAAATGGGAGCCTCCAGACCGTTCCTGTCTGATGCTGACCGCAAGGATGGCGCTAGGAAGAGAAGGTTCAGCGAAGGGCGATCGACTGACTGAAGGTTGGGCCTCCAAGCGTCCTGGAACTACAACTCCCAAGAGGTCGTGCGATGGACGCCATCTTTTGCCCTGTCTGGCTAAATTGCCAGCCCCAGAAAGGGCGATGCTATTTTATGTCCTCGGCGCGCGACTGCTGTCGCGGAGTGATAACGTACGCGCAGAGGCTTGGAGCTGTCAATCAGAGCCCGGCCAGGTCCCGGCGGAGGCCCGCACAGGGCTGGCGCGGCCATGGCGGCCGTGTTTGATCTGGACTTGGAGACAGAAGAAGGCAGCGAGAACGAGGGCGAGCCAGAATTCAGCCCAGCGGTGAATGTCGCGATGTACCTCGGAGCCAGCCTGTTACCTGGCCGAGGCCGGAGCTGCGGCTCTACACTGCCAGAGTGGGCTCCGACCTCTGCAAACCCGGATCTTTCTCAAATTCAACCCGGCTGCATCTCGGACCCGCCTTTCTCCCCGCCTTCTCTTAGAGTCCCCAACCCCTGGTTCTGATTCTCCCTTTTCTGCCGGGTCTCTTCTCCTCAGCCCTTGCCCCTATTCTGCCATTTCCCATCCCTGGGCCAAGCAGCCTAGCGTGGGGTGAGAGAGGGATCCTGCCTCTTATCCCTTGCCTCTTATCCTTCGGTTTCTCGCAGGAGGTGTGTCCCCTTGCCGAGTTGAGGGCTGCTGGCTTGGAGTGAGTGAGGCTCTTGTTGGAGGATGGGGGAATGAACTAGGGAAGGGGAACTGGGGAGCACTGGAGCCTTGTCCCCCATTCCCTTCTTGTGTCCATAGGCCTGTGGGACACTATGAGGAGGTGGAGCTGACTGAGACCAGCGTGAACCCCGGCATGGAGCGCATCGGGCCCCACTGCTTTGAACTGCTGAGAGTGCTGGGCAAAGGGGGCTATGGCAAGGTACTGGCACCCCGAGTTCTCCATAGCTTCAACTCCTGCCATGAGGCAGCACAGGGTTCTTAACAGAGATTAGAACTGTAAATCAGAAGAGTCTCTGTTAGGATTCAGTGTTCAAAGCAGAAAGGAAGCAAGAGCAGATTCTCCTAGAATGGGACTGAAAATCTTTACTGCCCCACCCTTGAGTGAGCCTAGGCATTTTAGTCCCGGTGCTAGATCTTCAGGGTGGGGCTTCTTAAAGATAGGATGTGGAGAGGGAAGTTGATCTTGTCTTCCCTGCCCTACAGGTGTTCCAGGTGCGAAAGGTGCAAGGCACTAACTCGGGGAAAATATATGCCATGAAAGTCCTGAGGAAGGTGAGTCATTCTCAAGCAAGTGTGCAGTGGCCACCATCCCTAGCACACTGCCAGAATTTGGGAAGATAGTAATAAACATGATGGAGGAGAAGTTCCCTGTCTTTAGGATTTGCTAGTTTATTATCTATAGTGACATATATTGTTTTTCATTAATTCCCAGACAAGGCAGATTTACCTTCCAGGAGACATTTGACAATGTTTGGGCAGTGACTTCTTTTTTTTGAGACAGGGTCTCAAGACCAGACTGGTCTTGAACTTACTATGTATCCCAGGCTGGCCTTAAACTTGTGGCAATCCGCCTGCCTCAGCCTCCTGAGTGCTGAGATTATAGACATAGTTTTGATTGGAGGGAAGTGCTGTTGACATCCAGTAGGTAGAGCCCAGGAATGCTGCTAACCATAGTGCACAGGAATTGTATGGCCCAAGTGTCATTTATGTCAAGTTTGAGAAACCCCATGTTAGAGGATAAACCAGCCCCTGAAAATGATGACTGCTGTTAGCAGCAGAATTATGAAGAAATTCAGTGAAGTGACTAAAGATGGCAGGAGCCAAACGAATCATATAGAGTACTTAACTGTTATAGATCACTGACCTTCAAGAAATTCCACTTGTCTTTGTCCTGGCCAGATAATTTCTGTAGAGATCTGAGGAGGGCTGTAGAAAAGGGGCTTATGGGCCAGGTGTGTTGGCACAGGCCTGTAATCCTAGCACTTGGAGGCTGAGGCAGGAGGATCACTGTGAGTTTGAGACCAGCCTGGGCTTCATAGTGAGTTCCAGGTCAGTCTCAACTACATAGTGAGACCCTGTCTCAAA